TAAAATCATAAATTGAATAGACAAAATGAGCACGACATACATATGGAGATTCGTTACTGTTTGTTAGTAAAAAGATACAATATAAAGTACGGTATGTAGTACTGAATAAAGTGTCTTTTTAATAAACGCCGCCCCCGAATAGACGCCGACCTCGAATAAACGCCGCAGCTGGATCGTGGATCTTGGTGTTAAAAGCACGTTAAAAACGCGTCACGTCCCCGTTCAGTTGACTAGTGCATAAATTGCTAGAAGGTGTTGTTGGTACATATTAATCCATGACTCACCGAATTTTTTCTTGTCAATGCATTCTTTTTATAAATAAACCTTTAAAATATCGTCAACAACGTCTTTAAAATTTTGAAGAAACGTAGTCAGACATCCTGTTTCAATGAATAACAAAGAAAACCTAGTGAATTGGAAACTAAGCACAAATATAGCTCATGAATGGGAACTAAATTGACAATAATTTGTCATAAACTAAAACTCAATTTGGCTTTGTTTATTGGTGTGAAGAGTGCTAATGTGCGTTTTTCAAGCATATGTTAATTATATGTAATGGGCAGGTCAAAAAACTATTTTTTCACAGGGAACCCAAAGTGTATACAAAAGCGCAAAACCGAGTTACCTAAATTTTGATTTATGGGTTTCCTGTGTACTTACCGAGCAAATGCCGATGAATATCGAGTAGTCGACTGCTCGTCGACTCGTCGACAAAATCATTGGACTTTGCTCGGGTGACCGAAGTTGTACCGAATGGATGCCTGAGTTGAAGTAAGCCATCATGGCGTCTTGGAAAGTTGCTCTGTATAGTTCTGTTATAGTCGCTGTGGTAATTGTGCTCCTCATTCTCAACTTTGACTACCTACCCAAAAGAAAACGAGCAGAAGATTTCCTTCTATCGAGGAGTAGTCAAATTGGTCTTGAATTGTCAACAATTTTCCCGACTACTTCTGAAAACCCAAAGGTGGGCGTCGATCATGTGAAAAAATGCACTTCCCTTTGTACTGAAAACAAACATTAGTTGCAATAGCAATAATTCATAACTTCGATTAAGTTGCTTTTGAATTAATTTYGCTTTTGAATTTTGTTGTGTTGTTGTGTTTCATATCGAAATTTGTTTTATGCCCAAGAAAGTAGGTCAACAACAACCTCAGATGAAATAAAGTTCYACATCATACTATTTTATYTGTTGTAATTATTTGTCATTGTGCTTGTTGGTTGTTAGATCATTTCGTCAGTACATATAACTTACCTATTAGTAATWCGTAGTATAGTATGTTGTGACAAGCTCTTTTCAAGACTTTTTCGGATGGATTGAGTGGACAATTTAAGTTGAGATGGTCGACATTGAAGATGATTCAATCGAATTCGTATTGTTTTTACTCGCCGTTTCACTGAATTATTATTATGTTTTTATTCTTTCAGGAAGACGAGGAGTTGACATTRAAAGATTTTGAGACAAAAACGTGGAATTGTAAATCAATGAATACATCATTTGAGGTACTGACTGATTCAGATAAACAAAACTTTAGTCAACAGTAATGAATCCTCTAAAATAAACAGCTGATCATAGTTTAGGCTAGACTATATAATGCCTATACATTATCACAAACGGTCTACAGACATAATACAGGAAAACAATAATACTTAAATCAATCATTACACATTTCTTGTTTTATTTGCTATAAAAGTGACTGCTATCGCTGTCAAGTTTATGAGTTACCAATGTATAA